TCTCTACTGTGCCAGGAGGAAGGTCACTCTGTGACCTCCAACCTCTTGGCCTGTCCTCTATCCTGCTTGGAAAAGGCTTTAAAGCTCTTTTAGGCTGCCAATACATGCCCAAAGGGAACACCATTCTCCCATAAACCTTGACAGAAAGGCACTCTGCTCTCTTTGTGTTAGCAAACCTAGCTCCCCTAATTAAGTTTCTAAAACACTCCACTCCACAAGTCAACCTATGGCTCAAAGGCACTCAGTTTTACTTACTGCATGGGCTGGAAGTACCCCATCTTGTCTTATCCTCCGGGTGTTGCTTTTGCTGCTACTATTCTGTCCCTCTCTGTTGCTACTCTGCTGTCACAGCTGTCTTCTGGATCAAAGAGATTGAATGTACAGAAACGTCAAACTCCACTCCTGACTTTTTTCTTGCTGGTAATGAGATTTCCTCTCTAACTCCTTCTGAGATGGTTTGTTTGATGCCCTGCAGAAGAGCAATCACAACTACTTCTGCTCACAGTCACTCATAATACCATCCTATCGGAGTCTTCTCCCACTTTCATTTACCCAGTCCCATGAGGAAAAGTTCAGTGGGTGGGCGTAGCAAAAACTGTGGCTAGGAGAGCCATAGTACACAGTTCATTGCAGTGCAGAATGTGATAAATTCAGAGAAAAAGGAGAAATAGACTTAGAAGTTACAATGGAGATGAAAAACATTGATAATAATGCTGAGAGAATTAGAAGACTTGTAAAGTATAAGTAAAATATATTAAAGGTGGATTATTTTTAACAGATGAGAAGATCGGTGTAAATTGCTTCCAGTTGGTGGAGCTCCTAGAGTTAAATCCTGAAGGAGAGAATATAATAAAATAATGGAAAATTGAGAACCCTTGAGGGGGCGGTGTGGGATTGGGGGGAAGGGAGAATAGAGTCCTCCAATCTTAAAGGATTGATGCAGTCCGTTTCTGTAGAATTGATTCTATTTCATGTCAGCTCCGTGTTTGTCAGAGTAAATTTGAATTCTATAGGGCATTCATGGCTGATCGATCAGAAGTAGACACCCAGGCCTTCTTTTGAGTCATCCCTGGGTAAACTCAAACCACCAATCTTTTGGTCAACTGCCTAGTGCTTTAACCATTTGAACCACCATTGACTCCTTCTCAAGGTTATAGTGTACCTTTAATCTAAAAATAGTGAAATTATAACCTTTTGTCGGTAGTAAAACTTTTGGGGTATAAAACTAAGTAGTTCAGTGTAGTTATCGTTACATACATCTCTCCCTATCTACTGCAGCCTTCTTTTAGTGAAATTTTTTGCCTCTCTCCTATGACTGGATTTAGCCAAAGTGGAGTGGCTCATTTTCTAGCATTACATCAGACAGTGTTCTGCTGTTATTCATGAAATTTTACCGGCTAATTTTTCAGAAGTTTCTTCTTCTTAGTCTATTTTAGTCTGGAAGCTCCACTGAAGCCTGTCCACCATGGTATTTGAAATAATGGTGAAATAGTTTCCAGCATCATAGTAACATGCAAGCCATGGCAGTCCTACAAAATGACACTTATATACATGCCTATATTTAGATCTCTATAAATGTCTTTTGCCTCCTAGTTCTTTTCTCTATTCCCTTTTACTTTCCTACCATTCCACTATCATGTTCAACCTTCGTTTGGCTCTCTGTACTTCCTCTTGGCTACATTACATTTGATCAAACCCCACCAGGCATTCTTCACCTTCCTTGCAATCGATTTTAGATCCCTTTTTGTTCCCTTGTTCCTGAGTTTGTTGGCTTCCCCCTCCCTTTCCCCCATCTCCTCCTCTCTGTCCCCATGGAACCATGGGTCCAATTGCTTTCTCCTTGGGGTTGTTTATCCTGTCTATCTTATATAGATAGACATAAAGAAAAAAGAAAAAAAAAGCCTGTAAATAGTTTCAGGTCTATCTGATGACCCTTATGAATGTTTTCTGATTGAATATGCGTGGGATTTATGCAGGAAAAAAGGAAGAAATTCCAGAGAGCTCATATGAAAAGAAAAGGCCTTGATCGTTCATGTAAATATTGGAAAATCAATACATGGACATTTTAGGATTTTAGAACATGTCTAAGCCAATTTAGAGTAAAGGGTGGTTTGAAGATGCCCAAGATCCTTGCCTATTCTAAATGAACATCATGAAAAGGCAACTAGAAGTCTGTACTCCAAACTATCATAAGATGATCTAGGACCTGGTATTCTGTTATATGTAAGATTGCCATGAGTTGGAGCCAATTTAATGGCAACCGCTAACACATGGGTGTACAGTGTGGTGTATGTAATTGTTATTGAATTGTGCACTTAAAATTAAAGTGGCATTTTTCTTATGCATAGTTTTCCATGATAACTTTTTTCCAAAGGGCATTCATTGGCACTACAAACCCATCTTTATAGAGTCTAAGATAAATTTCTGTACCAATTCATATTTAGCCTATACTATGTTTGAAAATCAGCTGCTCTATGGAATGCCAAGTATTTGAATCCTGTTCCCTTGTAGCTTCCTACAATAACAACTATAGCTGAACTGAGGCAAGACAAGTTTTTCAAACTCAAAACTCCCATTTTAACTCATAGTGATCCTGTAGAACAGAGTAGAATGGCTCCTGTGGGTTTCAAAGACTGAAAATCTTTACAGGAGTAGAAAGTTTCATTTTTCTCTCTGCACAGCAGCTGGTGGGCTCAAATTGCTGACATTGTAGTTAGCAGCTCAATTTGTAATCTGTTATATCACCAGATTTCTCCCATACTAAAAACATTATGTTTTTTCCTCTAATCTTGTTATGGACATGGCCGCAATTGCTTAGCCCATGGTGGAAAGGCATGATAGTAGCTTAAGGAAGATTTTAAAGCTTCGGGGTAACCTGTTTCCATCTGTGAACACTGCAGAGTATCAGTATTTTTCAAGCATTCTCCTCACCCAGGACATACCCCTGCTTTTGTCAGATTTGCTTGATGCTTTTGGAAACATTGTTTTATTCAGTTAATTCTTTTCAGGTTATTTTTGGCTCTGGACTCAAGTTTTGTAAACTATTCAATGCTGTAATAATCACAAGTCTTTTATTATTGTCATTAAAAAACAAAAACAAACAACAAGAAAAAATTCACAAAAACCATCTGCTGTCAAGTGGCTTCTGATTTGAGTTGCAGAGAAGGGCAGCACCCCATAGGGGTTTCAAGGGAGTGATATTTTAGAAGCAGATTTCCAGGCATTCCTTCCAAGGTACCTTTATATGGTTTTGAATCACCAAACTTCAGCAATTGAACACTTTTCTGTTTTTGACATCCAGGGGCTCTTTTTGTCATCATAGGACAACTTATTTATGTAAACTGAAAACCAAACGCACTGCCATTGCAAATCAATTCTAACTCATAGGGCCCCTGTAGGACAGGGTAGAACTGCCCCTGTCAATTTCTGAGACTGTAACTCTTTATGGGACTAGGAAACCTTGTCTCTCTCCCACAGAGCAATTAGTTTCGAATTGCTGACTTTGTGGTTAGCAGCCCAACAAGTAATCATTATGCTAACAGGGCTCCTTTATATAGGGCGCCAAAAAAATGGCTAGTAAAGCATATTGCCTTTTTTTAATTAAAAATTTTTTTAACCTTACAAATATGTGTTAAATAGTGTTTCCTAATCTTTTAGAAACAATCAAATGAAAATACCAATTGTGTTTCAAAGCATACACCTACCTTTCCCCCAGCTGTTTTGTAAAGAATTTCATTCCGCTGTTGATCTGATGAGAAGTCCTGCTGAAAGAGATTATTCAGTATTTTGAAAACAGGTTAAATAATAAGATTATTTTTCAAGTCAATGACTTACATTATCTAAAAGAAAGGAATGGATTATATACAATAATAGAGAAGTAAATACTTTCCCCTCTTGAAGAAAAGTAAATGGACAAGAAATGTTTATTGATTTGGAAATATATAGATATCTGAAGTCAGCTAGCTCAACTTTGCATAGCTGTAAACCATTTGTGTAACAAAATAGCTGTTTTGATAGTTGGATGATTTAGAATACTTATATGTTTGAGTTTATATCAATTTATATCATTAGTCTCACTTGGATTATTTCAATTTTGGTAACTTTTCTCCTAATTTCTGCATATACCCTGTATTTTTCCCTCCTTTATTTCCCCCTTAAATGAGTTTTTTTCCTTCAGGAAAATTTTGTAATGAAATTATCTAGGCCAAAAAAGTAGTATAGGGACTCCTATAGCAAATTTATTTGTATCTGCTGTATAGTTGAACTTCCTCTTGCGCTCTTCCCCAATTGTATCAATTCTGCTCTCTCCAAACTCACCTGAAGTGGAATTTATCGGTCCATTTGCTATGGCAGTGAGTTTGGTATGGTTTTTTAAGCATGCTTTTATATATATATATATATATA